GGAATTTTTGGGATTTTGAGCTATGGAGGGGTATTTTGGTAATTTGGGGGTGTTTTAGGGGTAAAAGTCCAAGATGGGTATTTTAATAGAGTTGAGGTACCAACCATCACCAATAAACCATGGACCAATGGAAACCCCATTTTGGGTCCTCTACATAGTGATCTTAGCTAAACCATAGCCCTAGGGCTAGTATGTTTAAGGGACCATCTACATGAGTATCCCAAAATATCAAGGGATCTAGGCTAGAAATTTGAGTTTAGGGTTGTGAGTGATTATGGGTGTATATGAGTGTAGTGAGTGTAGTGAGTGCCTTAGCTCCAGACCAACACCCAAGGTCAACCCTAAGGCCCAGCAGTCCTAGGGTGACTCATCTTGAGTTTCCCCCACAATGACCCACCTACTAAGTACTAGAGGTTGAGACCAACATGTGAAACTTCAAGATGAGTAAGGAAGAGGGTAAAATTTCTAATGGTGAGGGTTCCATGTCTAGTTTCTAGGAATATTCAACAGGAAAAGTCCTATGGCTAGACACTAGGCTACTAAAGAGGAAAAACTTAAGCCTCAAACAAAATTGAGGTCAACAAGCTGCCTACAGGGGAAGCTAATAGTCTAATTGTTGAGCCTGCTATGGGTTCTCACTAGAGGAAATCATTGATGGTCCTCGCTATTAACAAATAGAATTGATTTTTTGTTGGACAATACACAACAACACTAAAAACAAATGAATATAGTAAAAATGTGCCGAAAAGACTCTAGTAAAGGCTAAAGATTTAACGGGTCGAGCTCTACTTTGTGTGTGGCTGGACTTAACATTTAGAATTGGGCCTTAGGCAAAGCGACAGAGAGTGGGGTTTTAGTGTAGTGATTGAGCGACTACTGTGGAGAAATGTTTGGGTTTGAATAAAGCAAGCCTTCTTCCTTTGTGCGATTTGCGAGAAAGACGAAGTAGGCTAGGGAAGAGAGGGTTATCGCGTTCGATTGGTTGGGGAGGAGCGGCAGGGAGTATCAATCACAGGGAAGAGGTTTCTGGTTAGATCGCCAGCGAGGTTGGCGAATAGGGAGAAGAAGTTTTCAGCTTTGTGTGGGGAGAACTGTTGAATAACCTTCTCTAGAAAACTTGTAGGACAGCAAACTAGAAAAGGAACTAAAAGAAAAATGCAATCAAGAACACCAAGATTACTTGGTTCAGTCCAAAAGACCTACATCCATGGGAGGAAATCAAGAAACAAATTCACTAAGACAATCATAACGATTACACCGCTCAATCCCAAAGATGAACCATTTTTCAAAACTCTCTCAATCTTCCACTCTATACAAGCTTTCTTGATTCCTCTCTTTAATCTTAGATTTTCTCCCTTAACCCTCTCAACTCACATACATCATTATATATACAGACAAGGACTCTTCTCCAGTTGACCGGTTCAACACTTGTCATAATCAAATGACTATTATATTCTTTAGCTATTGAAACTTTATTAAAAGTTGCGATGTTGTCTTAATTCACCTAATTGAGAAACATCATAATAAAACTTCGCCTTGACTCACAATTACAAACTTCTATAATAGAGATTCCCTCCACATAGCCCCAAAGGGCCTTTAATCCTTTGTTAAGTTCACTAAATCCAAACAGTATCTGAACTTAGTTGTATGTAGTACTTTAGTGTGCATGTCAGCTAGATTCTCTTCAATGGGTTTCTTCTCCACTACTCTCGAACCCTTAGAAACTACATTTCTCACAAAATGAAACTTCACGTGTATATGCTTAGACCTCTCATGAAAGACCTGGTTCCTAGTCAAGTGAATTGTGCTTTGGTTACCGTAGAATACAATTACAACCTTATGATGTATGTGAGGCTCTTCAACCATAGCCTTTAGCCACATCGCCTCCTTAATTGCTTCTGTCACACCAATGTATTCAGCCGTTGTTGTTGAAAGAGTCACAACGGATTGGAGATTGGAGTTTTTTTTCTGATTTCAGTACCGAAAACAATGAAAATGAATCCAATCAGTGACTTCTTAGTGTCAATTATTCTTGCATAATCAAAGTCCACATATCTGAACACCTTTTCCTCTTCGTTCTCTTGCTTCTTAAAGAGCAGCCCCAACTCAGTACTACCTCTTATGTATCTCAAAATCCATTTTAGAGCTTCTCAGTGAGCCTGTCCAGGGTTTGCCATGAACCTGCTTATGATGTTGATAGCATAGGCCAAGTCTGGTTTGCTGCAAACCATCCCATAAATGATGCTACCAACCCCGTTGGCTTAAGGGACACTCTCCATGTATCTTTTCTCATCTTCACTGTCAGGTGCTTGAGAGTTTGACAATCTAAAGTGTTGACCAATTGGTGTTGTAACCTGCTTAACCTTGTGCATGTTGAACTTTACTAGAAGTTTTTGAATATATGACTTTTGAGACAATAAGAAACTGCTCTTCTTTCTGTCTCTTGTGATCTCCATCCATAAAATCTTTGTGGCAGGTCCAGGTCCTTCATGTCAAATTCTCAGTTGAGCATACCTTTGATCTTCTGGACCTCCTCCTTGCTTCTGTTGACTAATAACATATCATCTACATATAGGAGCAAATAAGTACATATATCACCATTTTTCTTTTTCATGAGTACACAATTGTTGTAGTTGCATCTAACAAAACCAATCCTCAACATAAACTCATCAAATCTTTTATGTCATTGTCTTCGGCTTTGTTTAAATCCATGCAACAATTACTTCAGCAAGCAAACTTTGTCCCTATATTCAGGTGTGTTATACCCATCAGGCTGGTTAATCAAGATGGTTTCTTCCAACTCTTCATGTAGGAACACAGTTTTAACATCTAGCTGCTCCAGTTCCAAGTCAAATTGAGCCACTAGTGCTAAAATTATTCTGATTGAGCAGTGCTTTACCACGGGCGAGAATATTTCATTGAAGTTAATTCATTCAACCTGTGTGAATCCCTTTGCAACTAGTTTGGCTTTATACCTGACCTTTTCAAGGCCTGGTATGGCCTCCTTCTTCTTGAAAGTCCACTTATAGCCTACTACTCATTGGTTCTTCGGTCAGTCTATAAGTTCCTAGGTTTTTTTCTTCATCAGAGAAGCTATTTCCTCATCCATTGCATCAACCCACTTGTGTCTTTCCTTACTCTTTAGAGCTTCCTTGTAGTTGTTTGGTTCAGCCTCTTATATTTCTTCTGTAGCACTCAGTGCATAGGAAATCAAGTCTGCATGACAATATCTCTCTGGGGGTCTGATGGTTCTTCTTTTTCTATCTCTCACCAAATTGTAGTCATCCTATCTAGTTTCTGGTTCAGTTTTTTGCCAGTCTTCTACCTCTCCATTTTGGTTGTTCACTGCAGTCCTTTGAGTAGCCACTGTTTGTTGTTGTTGTTGTTGCAACTCCTTCTCAATTGGAACATCCTCCTTTGTAATGTTGTTCTTGGTAACATAGCTTTGAATGTTCGCCTTTTTAGACTCATTGAATACCACGTCTCTATTAATGATGCATTTCAGTTGACCAGGCTTCAGACATCACTGTTTGGTTTCGGATGGGTAGCCGATGAAAATACACCACAAAGCTCTTGCTTCCATTTTATCCTGTCTGATATGAGCATATCCAAATATCCAAAAACTTTGAGATTGTCATATTTACCTGGTTTTTCGTGCCATATCTCCAAGTGAGTCTTCATTCCAATAGTAGTTGATGGGCACCTGTTGATAAGGTAGCAGGCGGTTGACACAACTTCACCTCAGAAGGTTTTGGGTAGACTGGCACTCAACATCATTCACCTCACTCTCTCTAAGAGTGTCATTTTCATCCTTTCGGCTAATCCTTTCTGTTGAGGGGTGTTCCGAACTATCTTGTGCCTTGTAATGCCATTTCTTTTGCACAACTCATTAAATTGTTCTGAAAAGTATTTCAGGCCATTGTCAGTTCTCAGATGGTTCAATTTTGTTTCCATCTTGTTTTCAGCGAGAGTTAACCAGTCCTTGAACCGTTGAAAGGCTTCATCTTTTGCTTTTAGAATGAAGACTCACACTCTCCTGGTGTAGTCATCTTTGATAGACAGTTAATTCCTTTCGTCTCCATGAGTTTGAGTTCTAGTTGGACTCATAGATCACTGTGTGCATAATCTAATGGTTTCTTTGTTGTGTGAGTTCTAGTAGAGAACTTTACTCTGGTTGTCTTCCTTAACACACATTGTTCACAAAACTCGTATTTACTGACTTGATCTCCACATAACAGGTTATGTTTAGACAATTATTGTAGGCCCCTTCCACTTACGTGCCCCAGTCGCATGTGTCATAGTCTAATTCTGTCAGTTTCTGATTGAACTACATTAGAGAAGTTACAAATTACAGTTTTTCAGATTAGAAAATATAGTCCATTTTTCTAATTCCTTTCATAATGATAAGAGAACCTTTAGTTACTCTAATACAATCATTTTCCTCCTTGAAAAGATAATCGTTTGATTCTAACATACCTAAAGAAATCTAATTTCTCTTTAGTTCTGGTATGTATCTGACATGTTGCAGTATTTGTTTAGCTCCATCAAAATTCTTTATCCTTATTGTCCCACTGTCGACCACTCCGCAAGCTTTATTGTATACAAGTAGTACGGACCCACCATTGGCCAGTTGAAGTGTCTCGAACCAATCTTTAGGAGGGCACATGTGGAACTAGTAGACCGAGTCGAGAATCCAATCTTTGTTGGATTCTGACTCGGTGATTACCAGAGCTTTGACCGACTCATAGCCATCAGAGGTTATGCTTGCTTTTCCTGAATTTTTTTGGCTTTTCTTGAAAGTTTTTCTTCCTGCCAGAGTAATTCTTCTTGAAGTGACCTTCCTTGTGGCAATGGTAACACTTGTAAGGTCCATTTGATGACTGATTTTTGCTCTTTTTTCCTTGTCTCGTTCTTGATTTGTTCTAACCGTTTTATGAATCTTTCTTGTCTGATCTCCCTCTAACGGTAAGACCATCTCCGCTGCTTTTCTCATTCATTCATGTTTCCTTTGAAGTTTTTCAGCTCTGATCAACGATTGAACCTTTTCTAGTGAAATTGTTTGCACCCTTCCATAGAGCCTTGCATCTTTAAAGTGCTTGTAACTCTTGGGAATGGAGCTTAGCAACAACAACACCTTATCCTCATCTTCCATCTTAACGTTGATATTTTTAAGATCATCTATGATCTTGTTAAACTCATCAATTTGCTCTGAAACCTATTTATCTTCGTGCATGTTGAAGGAGTACAGGCGTTACTTCAAGAAGAGTCTGTTGGCCAGGGATTTCTTCATGTAGAGCAGTTCGAGTTTAGCCCAGAACACCTGAGCCGTCGTTACACTAGACACTTTCCTCAGAGCTTTGTCAACCAAGCTCAAGATTATCACGCTATAAGCTCCATCCAAGATGTTGTTCTTCTCTCTCTCGGATCTTGGCCAATAATGTTGTTGGCCCTTTTAATGCTTTTGCGACTCCTTGTTGCACTAACAGGGCTCTCATATTGACTCTCCACAAGCCGAAAACATTCTTTTCGGTGAATTTTTCAATGTCAAACTTAGCAGATCTCATTGTCGTGGCTAGATTTCCACATATGATGCCAATTATTGAAGAATCTACTCTAGAAAACCTGTAGGACAACAAATGAGAAAATGAACTAAAAGAAAAAAATCAATTAAGAACACCAAGATTACGTGGTTCGGTTCATAAGGCCTAAATCCATAGGAGAGAATCAAGAATCAAATTCACGAAGACAATCATAACGATTACACCGCTCAATCCTAGAGATGAACCATATTTTAAAACTCTCGCTCGATCTTTCACTCGATACAAGCTTTCTTGATTCCTCTCTTCGATCTCAGATTTTCTCCACTTAACCCTCTCAACTCACATACATCATTATATATATAGACAATGACTCTTCTGAAGTTGATTGGTTCAACCTCTATCATAGCCAAATGACTGTTATCTCCTTTAGCTATTGAAACCTCCTTGTAAGTTGCAGCGTTGTCTTAGTTCGCCTAATTGAGAGTCATCATAACAAGAACAGGCGAAAGCTTCACACGATTGGGAAGAGCAGAGATCATGTGAAGCCTTCAAGGGAAGGAGGGGAGTTGGCTTTGTTCTAATTCAAGGAAGATTGAGTGGCTTGGGTTAAGGCAGAGCGGAAGAAACGGTGCTTCTTGCATGCGAGCTTCGCTAGGCGAAGGTTGAGTTGCGTACACAGAGGAAGAAAAGCAATGAAACGAAAAAGAAAAAAAAAACAATAAGGTGCTTACGATTGTGTCACGACCTAGAGAGCCTGAGGGAGAGAGAGCAGTGGAATGAGAAGGGGACGGTGGATAAACAGAAAAAAAAATGTTTCAGAACCGGAGTCCAGTGAAAACTTGCCATGTGACAAGTCAGCCTAAAATTTTTTAAAAATCACCCATAACCAGTGTATTACAATGGGACCCACTTATCACATGAGAAGTTTTCCATTGGCCCACTCTCGAATAGACAAAATCTTTTCTGAAGTCTTGTGCAGCTTCTATGTTGAATAGTGTGTGGAGACAAGGGTTTCAAATAGGGGAGGGAAGAAGAGACTGAGAGGTATGAATGAGATTGTGAGCAGTTACCAGGAGAAAATTTTCCATACGGAGTCCGGACGTGGCTCTGCATGCGGATTAAAAATATGTTATCTTATGTGCTACATTATGGGGGTTGTTGGAGGGTTATTGAAGTGAACCAAAGAGCTTATTGGGGGATTATTCAATTGGAACTGCGGTGGTTATTAGGGGGCTATTGGGGGTTATTGATGAAGTGGAACGGTGAAGGTTATTGGGGGGTTATTGCTAGAGTTATAGCAAATACTTATTGAAGTGGAACCGCGAAGGTTATTGCGACGTTGTTGGAGTTAATACTTCAATAACTCCCCAATAACCCTTTGAATAACCTCTGCAGTTGCACTCCAATAATCTCCGTAGTTCGACTCCAATAACCTCTACGGTTCCACTTTAATATTTTTTTAGGTGGGCTCGATATAGCACGCATTGGGGCATATTATAGGAGTCCGCATGTAGAGCTGCGTCCGGACTCTGTATGGAAAAAATTGGGGCATATTATAGAAGTCCGCATGCAGAGCTGCGTCCGGACTCTGTATGGAAAAGATTGGGGCATATTATAGAAGTCCGCATGCAGAGCTGCGTCCGGACTCTGTATGGAAAAGCTTTTTAGTTACCAGAGCCTATCAGGCATCTTTCTACTTCAAATCAAAGTGCTTCGCATGAACGGTTATGAGGGTGGAATATGCTGGTAATTTATTATTAATTCATTTAGTTTAATTAAAACGTAATTTATCATTTTATTTTTAATGGTCAACAATTCTCTTTTTGCATTATGCTTGATCTTAATATGTAGTAGGGTCTTGGTGTCATTACAAGGACAACATTGAATCCAACAATGTCAGGTTTTGTCGACTTCTATTTCTTCCTCTATTCATGTGTTGGTATTGAAGCTTTCTTTATATTCAGCTGATAATGGCACATTGTGCTGGAGAAGAAGACTTAATAAGGCCTCAAAACGTGCTTTGTGCCACTCATCTTGAGACATTTAATGGGGTGAGCAATGTATTCTTTCTAAGCGCATTGTGTTTTTCTTTTCTGTAGTTGGATTGAAACTGACATACTGTAATTACATTTAGTTTCTATCAGAAATTAATTCTTATAATATACTGGATCCCGTATGTTCTGATGAACCTCCAACGTCAGCTATGAGGTCTTTGAGGGAGAATCCAGAGGAGTTCATCAGCTTACCATTGTCATCAATTCCTGATATTTCTTGTATAGTTAAGCTCTGCACATTCCCTTCATTTCTGTGTGCTACAAATATAGCTCCTAAGCTTCTTAAAAGAATTAGTTCTAATCTGAAATAGTAATATGCTTAGACCGCTGAGCTTCTTGCCAATTACTGGGGGAATCACCATCTTGTGAAAAAGGCACTCCATGTCAAGGAGGTACTTATAAATGAATTAGTTTTCGTCACTGTGATGAATTCAGATGTTTGAAATTGTGTGATAATGTATATATTTCAAGGGAACAACTGAACGATTTCACCGCTGTGATTTCAATGTGAATTCGTATTATTACACACGAAGTGTCCCAAGCACTGTACCTTATCACTATAGTTTCATTACTCGAGGATTTCGAGCTCTAGTTTACAGGTAAATTTCCGGCCTTTTTTCCAATAATGGTTAGAAAGAAGAAAGATGCTTATTTTCTTGGGGATTTAAGTTTTATTTTCATTATATTGTGGTTCAAATAGTGGTGATCATGATCTGAGGATTCCATTCTTGGGCACGCTAGAGTGGATAAAATCTCTCAACTTTTCCGTCTTGGAGCCATGGCGATCGTGGCATGCTGGCGGACAAGTTGGAGGGTGAGGAGACTATAATTTTGTTATTTTTTTATTGAAGATTTTTCTTTTACTCAAAAGACTGAAATTTTTTTTTTTTCATGATTTTGAATTTGCAGATACACCATTTTGTTCTCAAACAATTTAACTTTTGCAACTGTAAAGGTATGAAACTCCTTAATGTTTTATATAGAATATGATGGGATGTTGTTTTGACAGTGATTATTCCATTGGTGTTTATGAACTGGTTGCAGGGTGGAAGTCATGTAGCACCGGGTAAAATGCCGTTAGAATGTTTTGCTATGTTTGAAAGTTTTGCCATGTTTGAAAGATGGATTTCTCACGAGAGTCTCTGATTTCAATGAATCACTTCACTTATTTTGGCGAGGAGATATGATCCCTTCATGTTGATTAATAATAGAAAACTTTTCTAGGAATATAATTTTGTTGCATTTATGTTTTTCAAGTTGTAATTTATTAGAACTAAATGAAAATATGACAATAAATAGGAGGTAATGGAGTAAAAGGATTCATGTAGCTGACCGCACGTAGTAGGATTAAGGCCTTGTTGTTGTTGTTGTTGTATGTTTTTCAAGTTGTAGGAGGAGAATATGATGCCGATTAGTCTTATCTTGAGAGTTTATTTGGTTGGATTTTTAGTTAGTTTTATGAGAGGAGGCAGTTACTGGAGAATGCATCATTTCCAACCAGAGCAAAAACCAAGGGACCATCTTACACGACACTTAACCGAAATGGTCAGCTAAGCATTAAAGAGAATGGAAAAGACAAAGAAGTCAAAGAAACATATATTGGTTAAATTAAACTAATGAATATAATTTATGTCAATAATTTTATATTTAGCAAAAAATATAATTTTTAAATAATCCTTTTTTTCTAAAGCGATGAGGAACTAGAATAGTTTTTTTTTTTAAATATTTATTAAGCAATGCAATCGATGATTAAAAAAAAATTGTACAAATTATTTTTTTATAAAGCTTGTTTTAAATTTATAAGCGTAATTAGATGTACAAAATTTTTAATCGAATTTGAAAAATATTAATTAGTATAAGTATATTAATCTCTTAAATTTGATATAGATGTAAAAAACGTAATGTTTTTTATTATTATGTTTAAAGACATTATAACTTGAAAATATTTTTAATGCAATATTATTTTATAAATTTTTTTGAGAATATAAAATTTTTTGAAATATAGTTGTTTAACAAAATATATTATATAAGCAGAGTTATATATTAACATTCTAACATTGTGCGAATATTCATTACATAGATAAAAAATAGAGTTGAACAAATGTGATTTTTTAATATTGCATGCTTGTATGTATTTATAAGAATGAATGGAGTGTTCACGTCAAATAAAAATAATAAAATTGTGATGACGGGATCACTTAAAAATAATTTGTCCAGAAATTACTATATCATAACAGTTTTTAAACTGAAGTAAATAATTGGACAGCTAGTTTGTCCACAGCAGCATCTATATAGCAGCTTTCTGTCGCATGTGTTGTACTACAGTTTATTAACTCACCCACATTAAGATTTTGATTTTTTAAATATTTTTTTGTGAAATCAATCCAGCAAAAAAAAAATTATTATTTTAAAAATTTAGCGGAAGAAAGCTTGGTTGTTTCTATATGTAAGTATTTTTCGGGGCATCGTTGCAAGCAGGATTCAAATAATTACACATATAGCGTACCAACTTATGTGCCTCATCATCTCAAGCTAGTAAGAAAAGTATATTGAGCTCTGATTTATAGGTGATCGACACATCATATGCAAACAATGAGGATCATGATCTGGATATACCGTATATTAGCACGCTTGAGTGGGTAAGATCCCTCAACTTCTCTATCATCAAAAATTGGCAATCGTGGTGTGTTGATGGCCAAGTTGCAGGGTGAGCATTTCATTGGCCTTAATTCACATTTATTGTAGGAGATTGGATCATTTGCAAACTCAATTTAAGCGCATAACACACATATATCAACACAAAAGCTTAATTTTTTAAGGGAGATTCACATACATACCACACAATTCCTATGTATTTACATATCTAACAACCAAACATTAATTTGCATCATTTGCATGTTCGTGGTAGATAACTACATCATTTGCATGTCCTGAGAAGAAGCCCACGTGCTTTTCCAACCCAATTGGCCCAACAGAGATTTCTACTCGGGTTGTTGTTTACTGTGCTTAGGTCGTTAGAAGGCTCCCTAACCCAAACGGGTTGTAAGTCCTTTTGTTGGGAGTGTTTCTAGCTTTGTAATTGAACCTCCATTTCTCCTTATTTCTGGCGACATCCTTACCATTTTGGTTGGTATAAGTTCCACCTCTTAGATCTCCACTTGATAGTCATAGGATAGATCTTCATTCATTTGGCCTTAGAGCTACTGTGGTTCCCGTGGATAACGACATTCATAGATTGCTGACTGGGGATCTCAGGATGTGTTGTGTCGACTATCTTCGTGACCAGGTAGATATAGGATCTTAGTAGCTTAGGATGACGGGTCCATCGTACCTTGACTTGGCAACCTCTAGGGATTACTCTTCCCTTCCTTTGACTACTCATGTTGAGCTCTGCCGCTTCTTTTGCCTTGGTTGGTATCAGCTCGACGGCCTGATTGTTAATGAGCTAACACCCATTTAGGATACGACGATTTGTCTTTCTCCCTTATGACCCGATTTTGCTTTGACGTATCGGGATTCTCCATCGGGACAATTCAGTTACTTTGCAGACTCCCTATACCAATGAGTCTGTTACCCATGTAGGGATCGCGAGAAGCTCACGGTTTAGTGGGAGCTTGGAAAGCATAAGAGCATTCCTTTGCGAGATGTCATTCGTTGATAGTTCTATGCTAATCGTCATTACTAATTTAACCAAAACTCTTGCGGATCAAGACTATTCTTGTGCAACCCCTAAGATGTAATTAACTAAGATTGATATGTTTTTTTGGGATCCTTCTAAACCCCAGGATAGGCAAAAACACCTGAATCTCTGGTTATGGGTAGTCTGCGTAAGTATTATTTCGCGGTTATTGGTCCTAGGTTCTTCCTTCTAATCTTGTTTGACAAAACATACTTGATTTAACCTTGCAAAGTTTATTGTACATAGGCTTTTCATGTTCTTTCTCTTATTTGTCATTTTTTATCGTATGTCCGTCTTTTCTGGTTTCTCTTTTCTCTTGATCATCTATACGATCCGAAAGACAGACTTATTCGGAAAAGAAAAGTATAAGATGATAGACAGACTGGTGACTCCTTTAAAATTGAAAGAGAAATGAACAAAAATAATTGAATCTTATATATTGCATTGCATGTTTGTATGCCCGCAGGTTTGGTCGTCCAAACAAGGTAGGTATGACTGGCCAACCAACATTTTTTGGCTCAATTGATTGTCCATTACTGGATGAATTAATTGGTTGAATGGTGCTGGTCGGCTTGACCATACGCCTTTTAATTAGCCAGTTATGTGTATGCCTTGTTTATGGTGTCGTAGTGCCACATTAGGTAAATTGGTTGGCCGATACTAATCGATAAGGTCATATGCCTATTGTTCAATTACACACGTTTGACATGTTGCATTTCCACTACACTTACCTAAACCCATTGACCCAGCTCGATTGGCATTACGCTTTGGTTCAACCGACTGACCCGGTCGTTCGACCGGTCACTTTGGTCCTACCGGCCACCCAGGCTCAGTCGACGAACCAATTTGGTCATGTCGATCTCATTAGCCTGACTGATCCCTTGGCTATGTTGCCTAGGGTTGATCACCCTAATCGACTTAACAGATCGAACAACTAACATCACTTGCATGATGTGTGTTTTGCATGTGCATTAGTGTTGCTTGCATGACATTTTGCATAGTTATTATCATATGTTTGAGTTGCATTTTGAGTATTCATTCATATACTCACCCCACTTGTATCACTATAGCCAGTGAGAATAATCATTCTCCTGAGTCATTGTCCCCTCATGGTACACTCATTCACTCAAGTCACTGCCTCCATGACACACCCGTCCTTTTGGGTCACTGCCTCCAAGACACGCCTACCCTTCTGGGTCATTGACTCGATGACACACTCATCCTTTGGGTCGTTGTCTCCACGACAAGCTTACCCCTTCGGGTCGCTGTCTTCAAGGCACACCCCTCACCTCTTTTATCATATGATTGTTTGCATTTTCATATGTATACATGCATGGATAACAAGCCAAGCACATATGACAAGTGATCCCGTGTTGGTCGCGATGTCTTAATGAGCATTGCTAGTCGTGTCGATCCTGACAAGCACGAGTTAAATGATCGAGACTGACACAATTATGACTATGTTAAGAATCTAAGGGATCTAACTCTTGTCACCCTGCGTGTTAGGGGTTTGAATTTAATGACCCTGTTGACCTCACTTTTGGTTGAGGTCTAGAAATTTCCTTAGTAGCCTAGGTCTAGTCATAGGATTTTCCTATTGACTAGCCTTAGAAAACTAGAAAATGTATCCTCACCATTAGAAATTTAAAACTCTTATCTTTGCTCAACTTGAGATTCCACATATTGGTCCTAACCTCTAATATTTAGAAGGTAAGATCATTATGGGAATGCTCAAGAAGAGTTCCTATAGGATTACTTGGTCTTAGGATTGACCCTGGGTGTTGATTTGAAGCTAAGGTACATTATACCCTTACTATATCTTCACAATACACTAATTAAAATCAATACATGAGAGCCCAAAATGGGGATTTCATTGATCCATGGTTCATTTAGAATGGATATCTATCCAATTCTA